TTGGAGGTTTCTTGTCTTTGACCTAAAGACCTCAGGTCTGAGGCAGCTGATGAGCTGGTAAACTCTTTCTGTGGGGGTAGACTGGATATTTCTTTCTTGTTTGGGCTGACTGCTCCTGACTGCATGGCAGGGCTCAGAAGCACTGTGTGATCCCAGCTGAGGACTGCTATTGAGAAGGCATTCGAAAAGGAAGAGATGTGAGTGAGTTGCAGTGACTGTATTTGAGGGAAAGAAGGTCAGGTGAGACAATTCCTCTTCTCCAGGGATTAAAGAAAGAAGCTATCCAAAGCTTCATTGCTTCTCTTTGCTTGTGTTTCTGAGAAGCCAGGCTGCCCTGCTACCGTGGAGTTTCTGGGTGGCTGAACTAAACTATGAGTGCTGTCCCAGCAGCCTGTTACCGAGTGGCTGTCAGGAGGCCCTTCCAGGCCCTCTTGCAGAGGAACACGTCTGCAGTACCATCAGGGGAAGCACAGTGTAAATGCCTAGTCTCTCAGGCTCTCGTTGTATCAGCCACATGCTGACTTTCCAATTGGCCCAAGCAATTTGCAGGGAGAGAATGGGCAGCAAGGGAATTATAACAGAGATGGGGCTGCCCAGCAGTGCTGTTGATAGGATTGTCTCTTCTAATTATGCATGTCACATGACCTATGCTGGAACGGTCACTGTTTCTCTATCAAATAGCATCTCTTCAATTTCCTTTTTCCTTCTTTTCCTCTTTTATGGCAGTCAAAACCTGTGTATGCCGAAACATGTGTCCTAGGTACCTCATTGCTCAGATGAGTCTAAAGGATACATATGTAAAAGAGAACAAATAACTGTTACCCTCAGCCACATTTAACCAGCCCTTCCTGATTCTCCTTGAATGTCCAAAGTGCTTGCATGACAGCAGCTGGCTCTGTTCTGGGACAGTTTGCAGGCTTTAAGATAATGGTGGGCAGCTCTCACCTTTGATTGCTTATAGCTTTAGTGAAGGGTTCCTTCGTGTGTGGGATCTGTTTCCCAAGTGCCTGTCCCATCCTCCTGGTATAAAAGACCACACAGTCAGAGCTTGGAGAGCCCTTGTGTGTGCTGCAGCTTCAGCCCTGCAGCTGGGTCAGCGGGTGTTTGTGCTTAGTTTGGCCTGTGTTAAGGCAGGCATTGTGCAGAGGCCGAGCCAGAGATGATCCCTTCTGGAGGAGCTCACAGGCTCAGCAGTTCACATGCCAGGAGGAGGAATGCCCTGTGGTTCCTGCTAGAAGTGACTGGTGGCTGGCTAGGGACAAGGCTTGGTGCCCTTTATCTGTTTTGTCAGTCACACTGTTCTGGGAACAATTCTCATTATTTTTTGTGGATTGTCCTTCTCTTCTGCTTTTATCTACATACATTGGACTGTGTTTGAATCTGTTGGTGGATGGCCCTGCTCTGGAGCACCATTCAACATGTGCCTAGCTTTGGGTTCACATCTTCCTCCAAGCAAGTTCCAGGCTCAGCTTTGATTCTGCTCCTGCCCTCCTGTTCTCTTGTAGCATTTTCCTTGGCAGATGCTCCTTCCCTGCCTGGAACTGGCAGTACCTCCAGTGTCTGTCTTGCACACCACCCGGTTAGGGTCATAAGCAAGCAGGAATGGATGGGGTTTTTCCAGCTCAGCCTGGTGTCCCTGGGTGTAATGCGGGGAGATCCCCAACAGATGGCACTTGAAGCTCTTCCCTGGCTGGCTTTTCCCTCCAGCCTCGCGATGCTCAGACCCGTGTACGCACAGATGCAGCATGAGCCTGTTACGGCACGGTGTGTGGGAAAAGGAGACCAAAAAGCGGTTCACTGTGTAACAAGGGGCGAGCAAATCCCCAGGTGACTTCAAAGGGTGAAAAAAGCATCTCTTTCCTTTTGAGAAGGCTTGGCCAGGCCTGCCTAATGAGGCTTTCTGCACCCACACACATATTCCTGTTCTTGCACCTGGCAATGTCAGTGGTACACCTTGGGCAGGATAAACTGCAGAAAGGATTAGCTTGTCCTCTGAGCACAAGAGGAAACACAGCCCAGAGGGAATCTGTGCATTAAACTAATCCTCACTGCATTTTCTTCACCCCTACTGCCTGTCTCCCCATTGCACTGTTTGGTCAGGATTCCCACAGAGGAATGTGTCCAAAGGAAAGTAAGATGAGGCACAGCAGACATCCAGCAATATCTTCCCCATGGCAGCAGTGGGCAGGAACATGTGGAAGTGAACCAGTACCCTGCCTCAGCTCACAGTCCCCTGCCCTCTCCCTGTCACCTCAGTGCCATGTGTTCTTGCAGGGAAAACTTGCCACTTGCCTCTTTTCTGCTCCTGGTCTGACCATGAGGAACTTAAAGAGCTCTACAAGAAATACTGGAGCAGGCATATGGGTTTACCCTAAATGTTCATGCTTTTGTCATGTGACCAGAGGAAACTTGAACTAGGTTTGAGATTTGAGATTTGGTTTGAACCCAGTAGGCAGATCAAAACTCCAGGGGTGAGAAACCCACACGAACCAAAACCAGAGCAGAGTGATCACATGAGATGCTTGGGAACAGAAACCACTGAATTTTGCATAGCTCCAGCAGTGTGATCTCGTAACAGGCTAGATTACAGTCTGGGCACATATGGCTTAGGGACCAGGAGGTACCACTTCTATTCTAGGATCTTCCACAGCTTTTCTCAGTGACCTTCAGAAAGTCAAGTAACCTTCTCTGACTTGGGTTTTTTTCTTTGGGAATAATACTATGACTTACCCTTGGAAAATATTTTGCTATCCTCAGATAGAAGTTACTTGGTAGTGTTCTGCAACCTGTGTGTGGAGGAGCAATGTCTCCAGCCCTTTCAGGAAGCTTTCTTTCCACTATGTGATGCAGCAGTGTGACTTGTCATCTACTGAGAACCCATTCAGCATGTTGAGCCTCATCCTCAGGGCACAGATCACCTAAGACAAGGGTTGCAGCAGTAGGTTGTAGCTCTGCTTTCTGTGATGGTTTCTTTTCCTCTGGGGGGTCTGCTAAATTGCTTGTCGCTGGTTGCAGCAGTGTGTCACTGTGCCTTATTCAGAGAAGATGCTGGATGCCATGGATTGATGATTCTGGTCATATGAAATACAAAGCAAGAAAGAAACAGCTGCTCTGCAGGTATTTGCTGAAACACATAGAGGTAAAGGTTGCAGAAGCAGGATTTGTAGAATTAGTTTCCCTCAAATTGCAAGTGCCCCAAAAAAGCTTCATCAGCACTTGGTTTTGCTGCTTGCCCTGAGAAGGCCTGGCCCTGCAGCTGGTTAGGAAGTCTAGCACCAACCCTTCCCAGGCTGGGGTCCACACTGCTGTCCTGTGCTGTGGTGGGGTGGGGTGAGCTCATGTAGAGCCTGTGATGTGTTACAGTTGGGATGGCAGGTTCTGCCCTTCTCTGTTTCAGGGAGCTTTTTCAGCTTCATCTGTTCTGAAACAAAAACTAGGCCCTAGAGTTGATTGATCTCTGAATGGGAATGCAATCATACACAGTAGTTTAAGCTGATTGTGGTTTATGGGTTATATCTTACAGACCATTACAAGGACAGTCAGTGTCTCCAGAGCTGAAATAAGGATTGAATAAAGGCTTGGGGAATTTCGCTTTATATGGAAAAAAAAAAAAAAAAAAAAAAGGAAAAAATTATAAGAGAGTCTCAGTTGTTGGACTTTCGGATATACATTGGTTATTGGTTAGGTCCCAGAAATAATTCTTATCTAACATGAAATAAAATATTGCATATTTATATGGAGGATTTCTGGTTTCAGTCAGCGTTTTACTCCCTCCTACTGGATGCAGGATGCCAGACTAGTAATCTGCCCATGTGCACTATTCTCTGGTTTTTTAAATCCATGCAATAAGAAAAGCAGAAGTACCTACAGCAATATGTGGTGGCTTAGAGTCATAAGGTTGGATTGTGATTTCAATTTGCTGTGAACTCGGGGAAAACTAGGTGAAAACTAGGTGAAAAAGTCCTTGGTGTGAATGCAGAAGGCACAGAACAAGTATGGTTTAACAGATGGACAGTTTCCTACTGCAGACATCTTCTAAGAAGGCACTATCTGAAAAGCAAAATTTTTGCTTTCTGGCTCAGGCTCTGTGCTTGTTGTACTCATTCAAGAAAAAATACTTTGCTAAGTGGAGCTGAACCGAGGCCCTTTCCCCTGCAGCAAAGATGTGCTCTCTCTTTTCCACAGTCAGCACTTTAGGAGTGCTCTTATCTTGTTACAGGCCTGCTGGCTGAGAACTGGGAACCCACAGTTAACCAGCCTGCGCTCCTCTGGAATTTGTACACAAGCAGAGACCTCTGCAATGCTTCCTAGCTTGTCCCAGGAGGAAGGTTGGGACAAAAGATTCTGCTGGCCCCCAGGGACGGGTGATGGCCAAAAGGGACCTTTCACCTAGACACGGGGAGTTCATCGCCGGCACGGAGCTGGCAGTGGGTGAAAGCCCTTTGTTGTTACTGCCGGCAAACGTGTCGGCGGCTTCCTGTGCGTTCAAAGTGGCCGGGAGCCTATCAGTCAGCCCCGGATAACTTTCCTGACTGTTTTGCCAGGGAGGTGCTGGGGGACTGCCCATGGAAATGGGGCACCTTGTGCCCGAGGATGGCCTGTGCAGCAGGAGCTGGTGCTGGCCTGGCCCTGCGCTTGCGTTTCTGTGGGGAAAGGCTGTGGCGAGCTTCCCTGCTGCTGCAGGCGCCGTGCAAGTTCCCGGGGTGGCTCAAGGAACTCGAGACAGGACCCACGAGCCCTCCCTATGGATCTGTGCTCTGAATGGGAGGACAGGACAGACGGCTCACGGCATCCCGTTTTGGGATCCCTGGACTGAGCGGGCGGCAAGCCAGGATGCGGTAGCGCAGAGGCAGCTACCAGTCCCCTATATGCCGAGCAGAGCCCGCCCAGGTCGGGGAACTCAAGGACCGCCAGCGGTCGGGAAGGGCCGGTGACCCTTTAAGCGGAGTCCCCGCCCCGTCCCGCCCCGTCGGGCCAATGTGCGCCGCGGCTGCCGCGCCGCTTGTTACAAGTTTCCCGTGGCGGCGGTGCCGGAGGGAGCCCGGCGTGGTGGCGGGCCGCGGCAGCAGCGGGGCGCGATGCCCGGTGCCTGCCCGGGGCTGACCGGGCGGGAGCGCTGCCATGAGCGGAGCCCGGCGGCTCGGCCAGGGAGCTCTGCCGTCCCGCAGTGAGCACTCTGCGCCGAGTGTCTCTTGTCCCCTGCAGCACGCTGCCAGCTGGTACCTCCCTCCTTTCTGAAGCGTAACTGAGGAGGGGGTGGAAGGCAGAGGAAGTTTGGTGCTCAGTTTTTTTCCGCAGGCTTTGGAGAGGGATCCCCTTTGCGTCCCAGCGCGGAGGGCTGCAGGACGGGGTGCGGTGGCGGAGGGCAGAGGGGCAGAGCCGGGAGCGGCCGTGCGGAGCCGTGCCCCGCCGCCGCGTACCTGGCGTGCTGGATGCGAGCTCCGCGCAGCTCCGCCGAGCGTAGCGGCAGCGGCGCGGCAGATGCAGATGAGTGCGTGTGTGTATGCTTAACCCTTTCTTGGCTCCTCGGATTTGTACCATGCTGAAGATCCTCACCAAAAAGCTCAGGAACCAGAGTTTGAACGAAATTCAACCTTTCCAGCTAAAGGTAAGAGAAGCCGGTTTTGTCTCCGTTGTTTTTTTGTCCCCTTCAGGTAACTAGTAAGAGGGCCTTGAGAAGCTGGAAACTTGCAGTGTTTATTATGCTGGGTCAGTTTCCTCTCAGCCAGTGTGCTCAGGAGGAACTGGCCTAGGCTGTATTCCTGTTACTTAAAGTCCCGTTCCTTTGCACTCAGAATTACCCTGCACAATTCAGATAATACAGAAAGGTGTATGAAGACAGATGCAACTGTCTGTTCTTTAGAATGTTTTCCTTTTGATGGGATTCACATTGTGTAGGCATTTGCCTAGATACCCTTGTACGTGGGCAATCTGGAGCCTCTCAGCCCTTTCCAGGCTAGAACCCCACTGTGCTAGGTACTGTACAAACATGATTTACCTAAAATGCCTTTCAGCTCGTTATTTGCATTTCTCTCTCTTCTGGTCCTAAGGCCAGAATCTGAGCTGAAGTTTGCAGGCTGGATCATTGCTTTGACCCATAGCTTTCCAGATTCTTCTTGTACATCCGTTTTTAATGTTTAAAATAAAACTGAGGACCACAGATTCAGGATAAGAACTGTCTAAGCCCTTCCTGCCAAATATAAAGAGGAATTTTTGAGCCATATACTGCGGGATAAAAATGGAGCCATGACGAATGAGAAAAAAATACCAGATCCTGATTTGGCAAAATTGTTGTGAACCAAGGGATATCCTCTGAAATCAGCAGAGTTACTCTGGATTTGCACCAGTACTGTGGGAAGTGCAGCACCTGGCCCCAAATAAAAGAAGGGATCTGGGAAAAATAGCAGCCCTCGTTGCCTGAGTTGGGGGCTGGGGATTCGTATACCAGACTCTAGTGGAGTCTTTTGTATGTGTTACACAGAGGCTCATTGCCGTGTGGCTGCACTTCTGCGCAGTCACTCTGGACAGGCTGATGGCAACTTTGATGAAACATCAGCACTGTTTCTAACAAAGTTTGCTGTACTTCTTCCTCTGGGGATTGCACATTCTGTGGCTCTCAGGGGAGGCTGGGTTAGATTTTATTTTTGGAAGTAAAGTAAGGGCAGTGCTGTAGGTTGTAGTGGATTGATTCAGTGCAGAGTATTTGCAGAGGCAGTGAGGGTTTTTTTAACACTGTGTTTCTGGGCCTTAGGCTGCAATCTCCTCCTTTAGCTTTATTGTTTGTCTCTTGGAGCCTCAGGTCGTGAAACCGCGAGAATCTTTGGAAGGAGCTCTCAGAGGCAGATACAGCCTTCAGGATGCTTGGAGGTCTGCAGGAAAATGTGCATGAGTGGGCATCTGCAGCCATTTTGTTCATGTTAATGCCAAGGTTGTGCTGCAGACAGGTGGTCTGCATTTTTGCAGGCTTAGTGGAGACAGTCAAGCTTGCACTGTGCCTTGCTTGCAAGGCTTTTGCATAGCCCATCAGAGCTGTCTTTGCAGCCTGCAGTGGGGAGTGCTACAATGACTGGTACACATGTGTATGGGCAGAAAGCCAGACTTGCAAACTCTGAGTTTAAATCTGTTTTGTAGGTCTTTGGGGACCATGTGCAGCTGCCTGGTCTTGGTTGAGCCTTGCAGCAGCATACTAATTGCTTAATGGAGTGTGCAGTGCTGTGTCTTAGGTGTTGGACCAGAGCTCCTTGCAGGTATGGACCCTGGGTAGGTGTCACAGGGGGTGAGCAGTGTGGAAGCTTCTGGTGGCTGTGCTGTGCATGGACCCTGTGTCAAGGCCAAATGTCCTGTACCATTTTGCTCTACTGCCCTCATGATGTGGGGCTGCCAGGCACTGACCAGACTCAGCCTTCTTGGCCTTGGTCCGTGTCTATGCGGGCCTGTACGTATTCTGGCTTGTATGGTCAATGCATTAGTTAAAAGGTCCAGTGTGCTGTCATTGAAACCTAGTAAAAACCTAGGTAAGAGCACAGAACCAGGTCTGTAGAGGTCTGTAGCCCTGTAAGTGGAGAATGAGCATCAAGTTTGGATAGAGTAAGAATTGATCTACATTCACCACCCAAACCAAGTGCTTTCTGAGCTTTAATAACAGTGTGCTTAGCTGCTCATCTCCTTCATTGCCCACTTGCTTTAGCACTTTGGGTTTTTTGGGAAGTTCCCAAATTGAAGGAAAAGCAAGCTGCTGTTGTGCTTCTAGGTTACAACTGTACTGAAATTAGCCAAAGTCTCAGGAGACTGTCCTTGGGTAAACTGTCAACTCATTTTTACAAGTGTGGAAGATTTGACCAATCTTGGATTGGCATCAAGCTTTGGAAGTATTTTCAGGATGAAATTTCTGCCCACTGTAAAGGTTTTATTTTTGTAAGAAGTGTCCCAAATTGGTTTAGTGTGGCTGTAATAGGTCCTCCTAGTTTTCCCCTGCTTGGAGAAGCTGAGAGGATGCCATGTCCTTCTGTAAGTGAAACCACAAAATATGCAATCTTTGGGTGTTGATGTAATGGACTTCTCCTTTTCCATTCTAAAGCTGGCCTTTGGGCAGTTGGCAGCTAGGGCTGCTCAGAGGACTTTGACTCGAGATGTGCTGGTGTCTCTCAGAAAGTGTCCTTCCATTTCCCTTTCACCAGAAGTCACCATGGTGGGAAGGGGAGGACTGACTGACACTTCACCTGATGTTGGGTTAGCCTGATCAGCCAGTAGTTCCTGATAAGGGTGGCTGGGCTGTCAAGTGTGATAGGGTTCAAATTTGAGTGCCTCGCCTTGGAAGACAGCTGACCTTGCTTCACAGAATACCAGAATGGGTAAGGTTGGAAGGAATCACAGTTCCGGAATCATCTGTTCCAGGTTCCCTGCTCAAGCAGGGTCATGGTAGAGCACATGGCACAGGATAGTGCCCAGACAACTCTTGAATATCTTTAGTGAGGGAGACTCCACAACCTCTCTGGGCTTGGTCACCTACACAGTAAAGAAGTTCTTCCTTGTGTTCAGGTGGAACTTCCTGTGCATCTATCTGTTCCTGCCTGTTGCCCCTTGTCCTATTGCTCAGCACCATTGAGAAGAGCCTGGTTCCATCTTCTTGACACCCCCTCTTCAGGTATTTATATACATTGGTGAGATTCTCTCTGTTGCCTCTCTTTGAAACTGTTGAAACTGACCAGGTCCAGATCCCTCAGCCTCTCCTGCTAAGAGAGATGTTCCAGTCCTTTAATCATCTTTGTTACCCTCCACTGGACCCACTCAGGAGCTCCAGGTCTCTCTTGTACTGAGGAGCCCAGAACTGGACACAGCACTCCAGGTGTGGCCTCACCAGGGCTGAGTAGAGGGGCAGGATCACCTCCTCGACCTGCTGGCAGTGCTCTTCCTAATGCACCCCAGGACAGCACTGCCCTCCTTGGCCGCAGGACACGCTGCTGGCTCATGGATGGCTTGTTGTCCAACAGGACCCCAAGGTCCTTCTCCACAGAGCTGCTTTCCAGCATGTCAGCCACAGCTGTCATCTATGTGCTGGTCCATGGGGTTATTCTTCCTTAGGTGCAGAACTCTGCACTTACCTTTGTTGAATTTCAGAAGGTTCCTCTGTGCCCATCTCTCCAACCTGTCCTTCTGAAGGGCTGCACAGCCCTCTGGGGTATCAGCCACTCCTCCCAATTTTGTGACATCAGTGAACTCAATGAGGAGGCATCTGTCCCTTCATCCAAGTCATCGATGAGTGAGTTAAACAATATTGAGCCCAATACTGAACTTTGTAGGATACCTCTAATGACAGGCCTTCAGCCAGACCATCTACCACTGATTATGACCATCAGCCAGTTCTCAATCCGCCTCACTGTCCACTCATCTTGTCCACGCTTCCTGAGTTTGCCTATGAGGATGTTGTGAGAGACTGTGTTGGAAGTCTTGCTGAAGTCAATGTAGACAATATCCACTGCTCTCCCTTTATCCAGCCAGGTAGTTTTTTCCTTTTAGGAGGCAATTGGGTTTGTCAGGCATGACATTGGTAAATTCATGCTGACTACTCCTTGTCCTCCATGTGGATAGACATGGCCTCCAGAATGAGGCATTCCATCACACATTTCTGGGGATTGAGGTGAGGCACACTGGCAGGTGTTAGTTCCCTAACTCCTAATTCTTGCCTTTTTTGAAGACTGGGATAACATTTGCTTTTTTCCAGTTCTCAGGCACCTCTCGTGATCGCCATGACCTTCCAAAGATGATCGTGACTGGCCTAGCCCCATGGTATTTGCCAGCTTTCTCAACATTTGTGGAAGCATCTCATCAGAGCCTGTGGATTTGTGGATGTCAAGTTTTCTGAGGTGTCTTTTCCATTGGATACTTGTGCCCCTGTAGCAGGGGCAGCATGTCTGCTCCTGAGCTCTTAGCACAGCCTGTTAGCTTAAGAGCTTCAGCTCTTCAATCTTCAGCTTCTGTGGCTCAATCCAAAAAAGGAGAGGGCATTGCCTGGTGCCTCAGTCTTTGGTCTACCACTTGCTTCAATGGTCTGTTGTTATTGGCTAGATATTAGGCCAAATTCAGGAACCTTTTTGGCTGCTTTTGAGCCAGAAGTGGGTCTGACTTTACAGGTTAAGGATCATCTTTGATAATGGCTGGCAACTGGGTCTGTTTCAGAGCAGTTGAGACAGGACAAAAAAGTGAGATCAGAGGTGTGTCCCACACAGTAGTGAAATGCTTCAAAACCAGGAAAGTGAGAGGGACCTGTAACTCAATGCCTGATTTTTTTTTTTTTTTTTGTGTTAGTTGTCCAGTACTACAGTCTAGTGTAGTTTTTTATTATTTTCTTTCCTAGTTTTAGACTCGTAGCCCTGAGAAGCACTTCCTGAACTATTAAGTCAGGCTGATCAAGGAGCTTTTAAAATGCATATCTTGGGCTTGCATCTGGGTTTGTGATGGAGAACTGATATTGAGCCCTTAGAAGTGTTCTCTAACCAGCCCCATGAGCTTTCTGCAAATCAAATGTCTTATTCATCCCCACAGTTTGGGGTAGGGGTTTCTCACACAAATGTGTTTCTTCCAAGTTTCTCTTTAACTCTTGGGGCCTTG